TATGGCAGTACACCTCATATAAATCTCATGACTTATATACTAAGATATGTACATTGGTTGTCTTTAGAGTGTACATATGTAAATTTTGAGCAATTAATATACTGTTCGATGTATTTCAGCCCGATGTTTGAGACGAGCGATATTTTTTTCTTGTCCCACTCTAAATTATTGGGGTTTGAGTAAACTTCCAATAGCTGCTTTATTGGGTTATGATAAGATTGGGATTTTAATGCATGGGAATGTAAATATATATAGAGATGCCTTTTTGTGTATCTAAATGTAAGAACACTATGTTTGTTTGTAAAGCAATTTGGAGAGTTTTTTTTGGGGTCAAACCAAACTAGTGTCTTGGGACCCTAAACCAAATAGGTCCTAATTTGAGTACTCTCTTTGCAATTATGGCTTTTGAGCTTATTCATAGGTTAGTGCTACTTTTTTTTGTGCTTGGGGAATCATTCATTCAAGAAATGGTAAATTGCATTTCGCCCCCTTTTGTTTTCTTGAAAAAATTGCAAGTAATTTCATTTTTTCTGTTTTTCCAAACAAAATAAAAGTTAGTGATTGTGAGTCAAGTAAATATTAAGTGTTTATTTCTGAAAGTTGAAGGTATTCGTAGATATAGTGAAAAATTAAATTAAATAGAAAACGTAAGCGTATGGGTATTTTTCAGAAAATAACTTATTTTTAAGGAAACAAAAGCAAAAATTCGTTTTGCAAACACCACATAAGAGTTTCTTCCTTTAAGAGAGATAATATGCTTGTAAATCTTTTTTTATTAATAATCTTAGATTAATGAATTAAATATCGATATAAAAAAATAAAATAAAAAAATCAGATGAAAGCACTTTTTACATTCATGTATGAGGATATATTTGTTTAGAGCCCCTTAGCTAGTTTTTTTTATTTTTTGGGTCGACCCACAGCCCACGCGATCTCCCTAGGGTTTTGGGCAAAACTACAAGTTTAACTAATTAATTAAACAAATTAAAACACTAATTAAACAAGTTAGAACAAAGTAATTTCTTGGTTTAAGGTGGGATTTTAATTTGACTAATCTTAAATTCCACATGCTACATGTGGGAGACTGCGTTTTGGTCCCAACCCAAGTCACTGTTTTCACATTTTCAAGGTTTCTTTTGCACTCAACTACTCTATTTTTATTTATTTAATTATTACAAATATTAATTAAAATAATCATGTCTGGGCCGGCGATACAATCCAAGCAAACCTACAAACAAATGTATCTTAATTCTTAATTATGATTTTATTATTATTAATTAATCTCCCACTAATGAGTAATGACCCAGTAATCTCTTATGAAGGTTCCCCTAGACGTAATAGACTTGTGAGAGTGTTCCACGTGTCCACCTAATAGTTGTCCATTTTCTTTACTCTTTGAAATTTTCCCTATCATTTTCTTTTTCCATTTTATTAGTACTTCATTATATTTTTTTTATAGGATACTAAAATAAAAAAAACAAGCATCAAAGTCTGATCTTATTAGGATGATTAATTATCCCAACTTGTTTTTTTTTTCTTTTGAAAATAATTATCCCAACTTGTTTAAACGACTAGTATTTGGGACGAATATTTCCTAAAAATTGTAATTTAAACATTTATTCCGCAATAATTGATGTTGTTCAATTAAAATATGTTTAGTGTCACATCAAATAAGGTATATGCCTATAAACTTTTCATATCAATTTATAATATTTATTATTATTGTTATTTTATTTTTTATAATTAGATCAAATTTCAAAAATTAACTTTTGTACCACAGTCAAAATTCTTGCCAAGAAGCACAAATTATTAACTACGTCTGGTAACTTTTTTCACCACCAGCAGACCAAGAACAAAACCATTCCCTTTACAACTCCCAACCTCGTAAAATCACACACACACACACACACACATTTATATATATATATATATATATATATATATAGCAAAGATTTACAAAGAGAAGCAAAGTAGAACAGAGAACACTACTACTAGTCGGATGTGAAACTTTTCACCAAAGGGTGTAAAAAAAACTAAGGTAGAAATAATTTTCACCAAATATTTAACTTGTGAAAAAAGGTTTCCTTTTTATTTATTTATTTTTCATCTAAAAATAAAAATTCCATTGACCTTTGCCAAAGATCTTGTCACTATGATTTCTTGCCTTTCGTTTTCCTCAAGTCTTCACCACCTCCTCTCTTTCTTTATTACTTCACATGTCACTATCAATTCCTCAACCCTCTCATTTTCCTTTAATTTTTAATTTTTAATTTTTAATTTTTAATTTTTAATTTTATTTATCCATCCTACAAAATACAAATGTATTCAAATTGTTCTTTCTAGATTTCTTTTTTCATTCTTGATTATTTTAATGAGTCGAATATTTATTTATTTATTTCTTTAATGAAAGCGGCACGAATAGCTCGCGCCCATTTGCAGCAATCGGAAAAACTTGATTGTTGTTTTCATCAAGTTATCAACTACTATGCAATAAAAAAAATTGTAATTTAAGGATAATGTTGAAAAATATGAAGTAAGTTTGAGAGGGACTTGTTAAACTTTGGTGATGAAATGATTTTACCTACCAAGAAGCAACTAGCACTCCTATTATATTTATTATGTTCATATCCTTCATTTTGTCAGATTGGACCAGCAAGCCGGCTTGGCTCAATCGGCTGAACCGGACCACTGAACTAGTCGATCCAATTTAATGTTCGTATATTATGAAAATAACATATTCGATCAAACACTTGTTCTTCGATAAATCGGGATGAGGGCTTGTTCGTCGCAAAATTTCCAGAGTTGCCTAAAAAAGTTAACGAACAAACCGAACATCAAATAAAGTTTTAACTATTTTTCAATTAATCATAGTTCGAAAAGATTAATAGCTAGAATGCCAATCACTAAATGAAGACCACCAACTCGAGAGTTATATACACCACTACAAAAATTAAACATTGCAGACGGTTGGGAGTTTTAATATCGAAATAGTGACTGATGCAATTTAAATGCACTCCCTGCATTTATTTTATTTTATTTTGGGCTTTATCCAACTTGTCGAACATGGTGAAACAAGAATCGTCTATTCATCGGCAGTATCGTCAAGATTCAAGAATCAACATACATATATTCAAGAAATTAGCAAATATATTTAAGATGGAAACTTATCGTAACATTTCTTCGACAGCCTAACGCAGTCGAGCCAGTGCAGGACTTGGGCATTAGGGTCCGTCTCGAAAGCGACATCAGAAACTGTAATCTGAACAGTCCCTCTGAACACGGTGATCCTACCACGCACCCTGGCAACATCGCCCAACTGAATCTCAGAAGCAAGTTTTTCCGCCATTGAGGCAATTGATCGAACATCTGACGGGTCGCGCCTGGAGAAGTGAGGAGAGGTGAGCTGGTTGAGCCAGAGGACGCAAGCGATGCATCCGGTTCCATCGTCGATGGTGAATCTGAGGAATCTTCCGTATTTGAGATCACGGGTCACAACATACCCGACCGTTTCAGCGCGTGACAAGGGCACGCCTTTACGAGAGAAAGACGACGTGTCTCTTGGATTGGGGGAAAGAGAGAGGAAATCGAAGGCTAAAAGTTTGACGTGGGTGTTGTAGAGATTAGCTGCCATTGTTGAGCTTAACAAAGAATCAGAGATTACGTTCAATTTATGAAGTGGAGGGCGGGAAGTTCTTGAGCCGGGAATTAAAAGTGGAGGGAAATTTTCAATTTATGAAGCTTTTAATCTTCAATTATATTTTTGGGGTCATACTTTTAAATTAATTTCTTAAATAAATACAAACCCATTTTGAGTATTAAAAATTCAAAATCATATTTAAGAATAGGGTTACAATAATCACACAGCAATTGAAAATTGATAGCAAGAACACAATAAATTTGAACATGGAATTACCGCTTTTAACTAACGAGAATAAACATACACATTTTGGTCTTTAGAAGTAATAATCAAGTGGAATGTTTCAGCGAAAACGAAGTTACACTTGACATCGATACGAATAATTAATTCGAAATAATTTGTCCGGATGAACTTTTCGCATTTAGTCTTCCTTCGCAAGCAAAATATCCAACTTCCTGGGTGTCTGCAAAGAGCTGTGATTTTACCTGCATAACAAAGATGTATTTGATGTGTGTCAAATATACGGTTTAAAGTCGAGACAGGAAGTTGTAAATATATTGTTTGTCAACATTACACTCAAAAGGGTTCGATTTATTAATCCAAATGAACTAAAATTTATAAAATTTCGGATGCATTAGCAAAAATCTCAAATAAAGGTTAACAAAATTCAAGATTCTTGAATCCTATGCATATTCACAAACCAAGTGTTCAACCCAATCTCGAACACCATACCTTCAGTGGGAATATAAACGAATTATCTACAATTTCAAATAAAAATCAGAATTATGAACGCAAACCAAAGCATCAAGTTCGTTTTATTGAAAACTTACAGTTATAGCCTTGTTGATGGTATGTAGATGTTCAAGGGCTCACCCAACCATAGAGCGCTTTCTCCCTCTTTGCCGAACTAAAATACAACCAAAATATGGTAAGAATAAAAAATCAGACCAACACATAATACTGCTTTTCAGACAACACGAAAATTCAATAAAATCCACAAGTACAAAAGAAGGGAGACCTTGAGCAAGCTTGTACAAGGTTACCGAACGCTGCTTGGAGGATTTCTTATATGCATCAAGGATTCTGTCCATCTACACCAGTTCAAAACAGACAAAACGATTATACATACAGCAGATAAGGGAATAATTGGCCGAGTATTATGACATAATAATACCCAATGACCAGCTGACAATATTTCCGACAAATAATTACAAAAGAACAAAAAAGCATGAATACAATTAACACACTCACCACATTTCCGCATGAAGAGTGCATAGACAGCAAAGCTCGTTCAAGAACATAGAGATCGACTGCTTTATCTTCCGGAAGGTTCGATGTGAAGCTTAGACCAAAATCAATGAGCACCTTAAAAAAAACACATACAAATCTTCTGCAGTAACTATTATACTCGACAAAAAAAAATAATAATAATAAATTAATAATAAACATAAACATAATCGAAACATTATAAAAAACCTACCAGCTGATTAGTACCGCTTCGTATCAACATGTTTGATGTTGTCAAATCACCATGGACAAGGCCACCATCGTGCAATTTGCCAATAGCAAGACCAATCTGTGTTGCAATATCATCTAACCGTTCTTCAACAATACCATTTGATCCGAAGTCGAGGAATACGTCTTTTACAGTGGGGCCCTCGACAAACTCGAACGTTAAACTGTGCAGCAAAGGATCGACAGCGTATAGCACTGGAGTTGAAACTCCGAGCTTTCTAGCTTTTGAGGTGCACCTAGCTTCCTGCTTACGTGATAGTAATTAAGAGATGATTATTTTGCTTAATGATGTCTATGTTTAGTAATTAACACTAACCGCATTGAGACGTTTGAGAGTGAGTTTTGAGTCCAAAGAAGGATGCCTGTATTTCTTCGAAAAACGTTCCTTAACGACGGACCTTCGATCAACAAAAGTCGATTCGAACACTCTCTGAAAAATGTTAATCAGCAATTGAACCACGAGGCATAAATAATAGGATATATTACGAAAGGAACAAATTTTCGACTTACAGCCTCGGCGCCTTGCTTTATTAAAACAAGGGAGGAATCTTCCACTACATCTAACTTGATCTCCATTGTGAGAGTACAAGAAGCTGTGATATTCTACTTGAAGTTGATGGTGTAGTTATTGCAATACCACTGAAAAATATAATGTCAAGTAAAAAACACACTACAAAAATCGTAACCAGTAATCATTAACTAATTATTGGGTATCAGGTCATAAAATGCAAAAATTATACTAAACGGAGCATAACAGCTCAGAATTATTAAAAAAACACACACACACAAACACACACTCGAAGTTTATTATTTTCATTTTACATAAATATTCAAGCAGTGAATTACAAGTAAAAAAATAAAGACGAAGAAAGTAGTTACCTTCTCCGTTTCAGAGGTGTACAACGGCAACGGTATACGACGGCGTACTGGAAATTATCCGCTGAATTTGGAAATTACGCTTTGGGAGGAAAGGGGGTGGGTTTTTTTTTAGGGCTTCGAGAGATTAAGGCTGAACCGTTTCTTTGTCATTAAACCGCTCGTTTTACCTGACCCGGTCAAAGCCCGGGTCTTACTAAATGGTCAACAGCTGGGTCAAAACGACGTCGTTCGAACGAGGTTTGCCTCGGCATTTCCCGGAGAGGTGAACGTTAATCCGCTCAATTAAGTAAACGGAGAAATGAAGAGAGGGCTAAAGTGGAGCGACGACGATACGACGTCGTCCGACGATTCGGATAAATCTACAAAGGCGGGTACGTATCTCGATTCTCAAAGCTCATACTTCTTCTACCTTAATATTGTCTTCAAACAATTCCTTGTCTGGATTGTTCTTCCCGACTTGTTTGATAAAGAATAGATTTTTTTTTCCCCTGCATATTGAACTCTTGCAGTATATTTAGAATTCCCCTTTTACCCCTAGTACCTCTTATTATGTTGAATCGAAATTCGAACCCAGTTGAATTGAACAGCAAAGATGTACGGACAATAATTAGATCTCCGCGAATCTGGGAATAAAGAATTAACATTTGATTTCTAAGCAATTTTTATAGCTTGGACTCATGTGTTTTACAGTGGATGCTGCGAAGAAGAAGAAGAAAGGTATAGACTTTGAAGCGTTGAGTAGACATGGATATAAAGGAGGGCTGTCTGTGTTGAAAGTGCCCCCACCAAAGGAACCTGAACAAGAGCAGAATTGGTCTTGGTCTAAGGGGAATGGAGCACAAAAATCGAAAGAGGTGGAAGAGGAATCGTTTGAGGATCGACAGAAAACGAGGGCTGCCATAGCTGATGCGGAGCAGCTTCAGAACGTTCAGACTATGAAGGAGAAGAAGAATCTCTCCTTTCAGCAGAAGGAGAAGAGGAAACGAGACCTCGGCCAAGCGAGTAGAGGGAAGAACTATGTTGAAGAAGAGAAGAGGTTGCTTAGAGACAGAGGCGTCTACTCTGGTTTCGATTCTTGATCATCGACGTGTTCGTGTTTAGTGTTTGCATGAAAAAGAATTCTGTGTGTTTCTTTTTTAATTTATGGATCTGGAGTTGGAAATTGCAGAATTTATCCGTATTTATATGTCAGTAATTTAAAATCTTTAATCTTCTTACGGAACGAAACAAAAACACTACCCTTGAAAGAATTCGAGGAGACGAATTAGGCTTTCCAAGAATAAAAGATTGTCTGAATTAGAAAAACAGAGCAACGATTGCGTAATCGAAAATCAATGTTACAGAAGTATTGCCAACTAGAGGAAAGCATTGTCGATCATAAGTGTGATACACCAGACATGTAAATCAAACAAAAATTTTAAACTAAAAGTCAGTCCTGACTGGAGATAGTAAAAAACTATCGTTTTTACTCGTTTAGAAATTGTGATCATGAAGATGGGGGAGCGGCAGATCTTGTGGAGGAGAGGGTTTTATAAATTGATCTGATAGTGTGGGGAGTTGTTCTGCAGCAACCTCCAACGAGAGATGCTCCTACTTCACACCATTTGTTTACGTACGAAACAAAGTCTCTGTCCGAAACCCCTGTATTTTGCTGCAACATAAAAAAAAAAAAAAAAAAAAAAAAAAGTGTCTTTTTTAGTGGGATTTGATAAATAGTTTAATACCAAAACCAGAAGATATCATTCAAAATATTCAGATAAGTGTGTATACATCTCATATCTCATACATTCAGAAAAAAAACACTTACGATTTATACAAAGAAATTGTTCAAGAAAAAAGTAGCTCCGTTTGATCCTTAGCGAAGGGCAGAAATATAATTTCATAAACCAGACAAATTGGAACAATTTGTACTCAGAGGACACCTCCAATATTTGATAAAACTTGAATTCAGCAATTGATTTACCATGTGATTAAGATAAAACGATATTTTGCGCTTTTTGCTTCAATAAAGAGCATGTCTTTAATACCATGAGATGAGCAAAGGATTAGGCAAACAGTCTAGATCAAGACCAACACTAATTTATCATCCATCTTTAAATATTATAAAAAAAAAAAAAAAAAAAAAAAAAAACCGTGAACCAATTAGAAAACTCACCACCCACTCCTTCCGATCGGCATCATAACTTTCACCACTATTTGGGTAAATGAGTATTGGTTTGGACGACACCTGAGGTGAAACCAAGTCAAGAGCACCAGGAAATACATATAAGATAAAAGTAAGATTAAATTACATACTTGATTTTTCTATATCATTCATGTAAAAAGTAAGTAACGTGTAAAAATTGCAGAAACCACACCTTCTTGATGGATAAAATCAGATCCCTGATAAATCTCGGAGGGGTACAATTGATCCCAACCGCAACGATTTTGTCGGATGATTCAGCAATCGCAACACACTCGGACAAAGAGTCACCACTAACCACATTAACTCCATCCTTAGAATTAAAAGAGAGCCATGCAGGAATATTTATCTCTTCTTCCTCGAGAAGCATAGCAAATGCCTGATTGAGCACCACAAATTACAATCAACACAAAAATAAACTCACACGAGTTTCTAGCACTACATAATGCTACTTGTGGGGCAAATAAAATTAATGTACCTGAGCTTCGAGCTTGTTGGGTACTGTTTCAAAGGCTATAAGATCAGGACCAGAATCTGCAAGAACCTTAACTCTCCTTCGATGAAAATTCTTCAAGAACTCCAAATCCATAGCATCTCCATAATCACCACTGAATGTGAACAAGAATTAATATGCATAAACGACCCAATGTGAGATAAATTTTAACTTGAAAAAAAAAATCCAACAAAAAAGAAGATTATATGGTTGATATAAGTATTGCATAAAATCACCTGTATTCAGAACCATCGGCTAGGTAAGCCCCATAACTACCAACAGATGCTGCAACGAGTATTTCTCGTTGCTTGAGGATCTTTTCACCTGGATTATGATCGGTAAAGGATTCACTACACCTACTGTAGTACAATTCTCGTGCCTCGAGTGCAATCTCGACACTCTTTCTGAGTAAGTTCTCACTTTCTTCTAGAGAATAGCCTTTGTTCTCAAACCCTTGTATAGTTGCCTGTGTAATTTAACAAATTTGTAAATTTATGTTTCCCCCTATACATACACATAGCAAGACAAGGAAATCCCAAATTAGACGGAAAATAAGAAAGTACCTGATAAGATGCTGTAATAATTATGTCTGCACCGGCTTCAAGGTAATCAAGGTGTACCTGCTCTATAAAAATAGACCATGAGCATTACCAACAAAAAAATCGTCTGGATCTCTATCTTTTGATTTTTAATTTCGTAAGCATTGTAATTTCACCAAGAAAAACAATACCACACTCAGCAGCACAAGAAGCTTACAGTCAACATACTCAAGTTATAATGCAATCAGGCCTCAAAGTCTAATCCCATGAAACAAAATCATATCAAGCAGTAGTATTCGATTCCCTTGGTGCTTGTAGGTGATTACTAATGCTATAAATTTCCATGAGATTTGAACTTCAAGCATAAGATTTGTTAACAACACAAACAAGTGCTAACTATAACTTTATGCACTGATTCCTAACAAGGATTCAATTTTTTTCTAAAATTGGTTTGAGGATAAGTTCCTAACGAATAAACCAAATTCCGAGTTGTCAAGGTTTTCATCTTAATTCCATGTATGATGTATCATACTGACAGTCCTCAGTAGTGATGCCCCACCATAATGGTTCGGTACAATACAAGAGATAAACATGGATGATTTCACACATGGTGGTCCACACCTTAAAACAATCAATTCGACACGCTGCAAAATTCTGAACTAACAGACTCACAAGATAACTCAATACAAACAAAACCCTCAAAATCAAAACAACCATTTCATAATTGATGACCCATTTTTCGTCCTTTTTTTTTTTCAAAATCACGAGACTGTCGGTGGATCAACTAAGTCACTAACTCTAATTAATTAGCAATAAGCGCAAGAACACTTCAGGATTACATGCAAAACACTAGTTCGTACAGCTTAATGCGCCCATTAAAAAAACCCTAATCTGTGATTATAAACCAAAAATGCAAAGGGATTAAAATGAAAGGATGAAAACACAAAGAAAGGAGAGAAGAGAGAGAGAAAGAAGAAGAAAGACATACGGCACGGATGAGGTGAGGGGAGGTTAGGAGGCATTTGGCGCTCCAAAGAGGATCGTTGAGATTGGCGCCGTGCCGTTCAAGCTCCGTCGCGAGACCGCCGTCGATCACGGCGACGCCGCCGCAGTGACGGAGGAAATCTAACATTGCAGTACCTACCTGCACCATTCTCCTAACAATAGTTGGAGAAATGTAAAATAAAGGCCTCTGTTGAGGCTTCTGTTGGGAGTTTCGTGGGTTTGGTAGAGAAGATGAACGAGAACGGATGCCTCTGTCACTGTGAAGCGTCTTTCACTATGCATACACTAGACTAGTGGCTTCTCATATAAAATAGGGGAAATGAAAATATATGTAGCCAGTCATAAAAAAAGGAAATGAAAATATATAATTTTTTCCCCTTCAAATGTGATACTTTTAGTTTTCTTTACTATGTTATATCCGATAAAGGTAACACCGAATGAATTTTTCCGGTCAATCTACACACACCAGCGTGGTGGGTATATGCGTGTTCGTGTCCGGTGTATTTTTACCCGGTGATAGTATAGACCTGTTTGATTGATCCAAATTGCTTATTACTAGTGTATTGTGTTGGGCCAATTGGCCCATTAATTGAAGAGATTCTGCCTTAATAAGATTTGCCTCGGGCTCACTATTCTGCAACAATAGTTACATGTCCATGTATTTGCAATTTCCAAAAAAAATATTACTACAATTAATTAACTTCACATTTTATTATTTTTATTATTTTATGAGAAAACTATAAATTATTTTGTTGTCTAAGAATATGATTGAACCTAAATTCAAATAGGTGGTCACCCCAGTGAAATATCTATTACATTGTACCACATTATCAATTTTCGATCTATTGTTACATTTTTGAATATTATTGTCGGCGATAAGAAACTGAAATTAATATTTACATATACATGAGGTAACATCATCACCTAGTAAAAACTCTTATCCCAAGGTCAGCCCCCTGCCATACTTTACGAGTCTTGCCGACAAATACTTGCAAGAATGATCCGCAAGTTTCACTCACCCTGTTCAACAACAATGCACTTAACATTCATAACAAAACAAGAACCATATCAAATAAACACAAGTCAAATAACTCATGAACTATTTGCACATGAGATTATCAAGTTATTACAGGCATGGACTCACCTTTTATACTGAATAGAGCGAGACCATCAGAAACCTGTTGGCCAGCACTAACGCGGAGCCCACCGATGCAACCAGCACTTGTTGCCTTCACCACATGCTGCGGAAGAGAAGTTATTTAAGATACCACATAGGGGAATTAAACGTGAATAACACATAAGCTGAGTGAAGCTTTCGTGTAAAAAAAAAAAAAATTGAAAGTAGACCTCCATTTTCATAGCTTCTAAAACCAATATAGGTTGCCCCTCCACAACATTTGCCCCATCCTCCACCAAAACCTTAACTACTAAACCAGCCATAGGAGCCACCACCGTTCCAGGTGGATGCGAGGACGCCACGTCAGCAGCAGATTTATGGTCGGATTCGTCGACATCAGCTAGGTCGATTCCCTTTCTCCGTTTAAAATGATGATGACACGATCCATGCCAGATGTCAATGTGCTCCATATGATCCTGCAATTAGTGCAAAAGTGCAGAACAGAGAACCTTGGTTAAAGAAGCCCTTTGAAATAATCCTCACTGTTCAAAGAAAACTAATATGCTCGATGATAAAATCAAGAATTGTACAATATCAACTATGATATTTAGTGTCATTCTTTCCCATTCCATTTTTGCCTTTTTAAATGGTTGTTTGTGTTTTCTTGTTTGTGTGAGGCTAGGTAATTGGAAGTCATTTCACGTATCATAACAATAGTTCAACCAGCTTAATGGCGAGAGTCCTTAGGTAGCTAACTCCAAGTAGAAATTATTGTGAAAGACTGCAATTGAGAAATATATCGAGGAATTTATATCGAGGAGCAAATTCCTTTCATTGTTTAATTTGGGTAAAAGAGTCACCTTCTGGTAAACAGATAAGCTGACAATCGTGCTTATACCACCATGCTCAACTCTATAATCGTGGTCTCTCAAGTGCACTACATTCAGCTCGAGATCAGAAGAACTGCTTCCTCCAGTCTGTAAAATACATATTAACTAGTTGAAATGTGTATTTTCCAGAATATTGATATTATATTTACCGGGAATCAAAAGCGAAAAAAAAAATTCAGCTTGAAAATGGGAAGATGAAAAAACAACCTCGATTCGATATTTCCCTTTGGGCAGATAAGTGACATGTACTGGCACAAGTATCGAGCCACCCTTGCTAGATTCATCTTCCCATTCAAGCTCCATTGTACACTTAGCACAGTGATTGACTCGGAAAGGAGGATTGGCGTACCATACAGAAGCGCTACCTGTGCATGATTCTAGGATTAGTGATTCCAAGAGTATAAGAAGAGGGTATATGGTAAAAAAGTTGGGTCGTTAAATTACCAGCTGAACTTTCCTTCATTACTGCATGCTCTTTTTCACAAACACATGCAGCTGCAAAGGCGGCACTATGTACAGCAGCATTATATACTACTTGACTTGACAACTGATCATTTGGATCGACGAATAGATCATCTTTATGCATTTCAATGAAATGTGTTTCAACTTCTCCATTTTCAAAAGCTTCATGATTTGCGAGTTTGAAGAGAAAATCAATATTGGTCGGCAAACCTCCAACCTGTAAAAAGTAATGTCCAGAAGAATCATGCCGTTAGAATATATTCTGAAGGTTGGTTAACTGAAGGACTTGGCAACAGAGATTCACAGTCCATACATGGTGATAAAGGAACTATATAATGGAAGAGCAAGAACAAAATTGGTCCACAGAAATTAGATTAATAATTTGTTGCGGCAAGATAGCTTGTGCAAGGAATAAAGATGAGATACTGATCGACTGATGAGTAGGGCAGGATGGTATTTCCATCATTTTTTGTAATGTAAAATTATCTGAAGGTCCAAAGAAGCTTATTAAAGTTATCTGATTATCATTTTCTATGGAATTGCTAGAAATACAAAAAGATTTCTATATCAAAAACCCTATGCATTGTTAATTGTGGTTAAGATCGACTTTCAGAAATGTCACATGAGATATGCATCTTTAGAAAGTTCACAGAAACTCGAGCAGCATTTAACGAGCAACTGAAATTTACATGAAAGAACATTTAAGCTATATTAGTGTCCAGTTCAGAATACCTGAAATTTTGACAAGCAATCCTTCATTTTGATTAATGCACGTGTTCGATCTTCACCCCATACTACAAGTTTAGCTATCATCGGATCATAATGCATGCTAACTGTGTCTCCCTGCTCAACTCCAGTCTCGACCCTAACTGCTCATTGGCATTAAGTTGACGTGAACAAACTTAGTATAACAAAATAAAATGCCATATCCCATGTTGAAAGGTGTTTGGCGTTGAATATGAAAAATAACACCAATAAACTACTTAGGTAATCATCGGGATTCATTAAATCAGTTGTTTGCATTTCAATTGATTAAGTTCACTCGATTTATAAGTACCTTCTGAAGAAACTTGAACAGGATGATAATGATGAAGAGTTCCAGTTGCAGGGAGAAATCCTTTTGGAACATTCTCAGCATATATCCGGGCTTCAAAAGCATGGCCTATTGTAAGAAATTACAAGTTAAATGTATGATAAATGAACTCAATATCTTATCGGTTTAAGAAACAGATTAACAGCAAGCCTTTTCTATTCATTTTGATGCCAAGTAATCTGACTAAACATATTAAAATTTTGATAAATAAAATCCTAGTAGATGAGAATAACAAATGGGACTGAAATGTGTGCCATAAGAACCGAAATCCTTCATTGACTCCTCCCAATCTCAAATCTGAATAATGCCTCAATCTATGCAAGGATAAAGATTTCTGCGTACAAGAGATTTTACCTGACAAGGGTACCTGTGATTGACTGATAGGAAGAGGTTCCCCATTAGCAACACGTATTTGCCACTCCACAAGATCTTGACCAACAATCATCTCAGTAACAGGATGTTCAACCTGAAAGAAAGTCCAGTATTTTTTGCATTTAGAAAGATACATGCCGTATGCGTATAATTGAGCGAACGTACGGCTTCGAAAGATCAAACCACCTGAAGACGGGTGTTCATCTCCATAAAATAAAATTGCCCAGAAACAGTATCAACTATAAACTCAACGGTGCCAGCACTGTGGTAACTGACTGCCTATAAAAGAAAATACAGCATTTTGAAGTTATTAAGAGGTATTATAAACAAAGCAGTAAGAGAGATTACAAACTTGTAACAACACATCCATGAACAATCAATTTTCCCATTATATTTCGTACTTTAAAAAGTAAAAGGATATCGCATACGTGCAAAAGCACTGAGTTCCCTCTGGTGCAGAAGCTTATTTCACATTAAAAGACGAAGGATGAGTAGGAGAAAGCGGTGGTATAAAAGAAAATGTTATAATGTTCTCTTTCCAGGTCCAAATAGTTAAATTAAAGATGATAATCTTTTCACTTAAGGACCAATATCAGCTCTCTTTCTTTCTTTTTTTTAATGTATTTTCCTATATTCTCTTTTTCGAAGTGTAAGTCAAGACCATGCTTCTAATTCAACATAATAATCAGGAAAAATTTAACAATGCATGAAAATAATTACTAGCAGCTAACATCACTCCTGACTTTAGAGCACGCCAAAGAGGAGATATGTATAACCTAAAAACGTCTTGATATTTATGCAACTACCAAATTCCAGCATGTATGTACACAGGTTTATCCTTCAGCAAATAAGATGCTATACTCTAAGAAGCAAGTAAATAACAATAATAATAATAATATTAAAAAAAAACTCATTCAATGCATCCTTTTGTTGATGATGAAAATGAAAAACAACTCGGCATCCATAACAACTAGCAGTAAATAATTCGGCGTCATACAATGTGCAATAATAGACAAATCCATTACATCACCTTGGCTGCAGATACAGCCGCTTGACCCAAGTGCAACCGAAAATCATTGCTGATGTTTGGCTGCAGGTTAAAAAATGTTAGCCACAGGTCAGTTAGCAATCATCATAACCATATATAAGAAACAAGGAGCAAAAATTGAAAAGAAGAATTACAGCAGGAGCTTCTTCAATAATCTTCTGGTGTCTCCTCTGCACACTGCAGTCTCTTTCATTTAAATGTATAACATTACCGTATTTGTCCCCGAAGATCTACATTTACAAATTTAGGTAAGGCTATTGTCGTTTTGATAACAATCAACTCCCAAAATCACCCTATAAGTGATTCTAAGAATGGAAGGAAAAAAGGAAATAAATGAGAAATGTGATACACAAACAAATTGTAATCAAAATAGACACGGATAAAAGTACTCAAAAGTCAAAACTAATAAGTGAGATCAAGAGTACCTGGACTTCGATGTGCCTTGGTTTTGTTATATATTTTTCCAGGAGGATAGTATTTATTCCAAAAGATGCAGCAGCCTCTCGTTGTGCTCCAATAAATGCATCAACAAAATCGTTAGGACTCTGCACAATCCTCATACCCTGAAATCGACATACATCAAATTATGGTCTGAACCCATCAATAAACTAATTCAGGTGATACTGGCTAGCAAGTCTCTAACAAAATCTGACAAAGTAATATAGAAACAGGATACCTACTGTTGTAAGTGTGCATCTGATGATTAGAAGATTAATAGAGTGTTACAGGAAGATTTTTAAATATGCACATAAAATCACTTCAATCATAGGAGCAACTCGAAATATCTCTAAACCAAACTCTGATCACTTTATGACACACCGTTATATTACAATAGGGCATGTCCAACCGTAATACTGTGTCCGTAACTACTCTGTCGTGCACTTTTGGTTCCGGAAATTAAAATAAATACAAAAATCCACACATAATTCAAAACAAAAATTCATGTAATAGTAGAGAGAGCGTCTAATTGCACCAGAAATAATCTTGGGATTAAAAAAACTCAATCACAGTAGTACCTTCCCTCCACCTCCATGAGTTGGCTTGATCAATACAGGATATCCAATTTTGTCAGCTTCTAACTTCATTAAATCAATATCTTGTTCATTACCGTGATATCCAGGCACAAGGGGCACTCCTGCTGCTCCCATTATTCTCTTTGAAGCACTGGCACAGTGTCCAACAACCATTAGAACTTGGTAAAATCACAATTCAAAGAGCATTAAATAATGTGACATAGAATCAAGGAAAAAAAAAGGTAACTGATGCGGTCAACATGTTGACTGTCGTCAACATGATTGCCAATATGGAGAATCACCAGAAACCTTTTACCCTAATCTAAAACCAAAACATAATGTATCAGGCTGGAAAATTACTAAAATCCAGTTTGTGCTTCATGGCACGCCTACTTTCGAAAATCAACCCGATCATTTAAACTAGCTGCTTGACAATTAGCACAAAAACTCGCAACCCCAAATTCTGGACAAAGTAACGTACAAGTGACTAATACATGTGAGATAGTTTTTTAAGTATTCCTGCACCCAAATCCCCTTGACATCTATTAATTAGGCGACCATGAATTAAGTGAATCAAAACCTTGGTGAACAGAGGATAATAAAATGTCTTTTAGTTTTACCTTTTATCACCCATGTCGCGAATTGCAGAAGCAGGAGGTCCAATAAACGTAAAACCCTCGTTTTCGCAGAGTTGAGCGAAGTCGGCGCTTTCTGATAAGAAACCATAACCTGGGTGGATAGCCTAATTATCACAAAGAAGATATCCCACTCTAAAAGTGTGTTCCAGAAACATTAAGCAACCAACCATCTACATAATAGTACAAAACTATGGGCTAACCACATACCATGCAATAAACATAAATGAAAAATCGGTGAATTCACAGTAATTACAATGAACTACCTGGATTCATTTATAGCCTAAATTGATCCATGTCAGTTTAAATATCCTGCTTGACTCGTTAATATCATGGGTTCCATGATAGTGACAACTATATATATATTCATCAGAACTTTTGAAAATTATAAACTATACAACAAACATTATTTACAACGTGGCCCTTCCGGGGGGGAGTTACAACCTGTTACTGTTCCCATTACAACTAACATGATTTATTTACAAACTTGCCGACTTCCGGTAAATATAAATATAGACAGATACAATGTGTTCAAACTTGGTTTCTTTAAATTGATTTTCAAACATTCAACTTGAATACAAATGAGGCCCATCCCTCCCACACTTCTCTAACTCAACACTATATACTCTAAGCTATTGTTTCAGTTTATAGGCCAGGATCTCAACTGACTAACAAAACATACCAATTATATCCTCACCTTTAATTCTTTAAACGAAAATTAACAGCATATATTTTCTTCAGCAAGACTTAAATACTCGACCAAACAATAGAATGTAAAGTTAATCAGTTATATGGTTAAAGTATAACCTGAGCGCCGGTCCTGGAAGCGGCTTCGATAATGGAGGGAGCGCTCAAGTAGCTGAGCCGAGCCGGCGGGGGTCCAATACGAACGGCTTCATCAGCCGACTTGACATGCAAGCTGCTCTCATCTGCATCGCTGTAAACCGCTACGGTTCGAATCCCCAACCTCTTGGCAGTTCGAATAATCCTGCACGCAATTTCGCCTCTATTCGCGATCAGTATCTTCTCAATTCTCGCACTTGCTGGGTTGATTAATTTCTGCGAATTAGATGAGAATTCCCTGAACCGAAGAGGTAGAGGTCTGGTTTTTCGACGGATTAGATAGGTTAACGACGACATCGATTGGAAGAACACACGCAGTGGGAAGTGTAGTGTGTGTGTGTGAGTGAAAACTCCGATGATTCCCAAAGCCTTTCAAAAAAAATTAAAAAAAAAAAATTATTGGCCAAAGGAAATTAGGAAATTACATATGAGAGAGATGAGTTGCTTGCGCTATTTAAGTGAAAATATATTAATTTTCCATTTTCATCTTTAAATAAATTAATTTCACTATGTTTACTTACTTTATTAATTTATTTTATTATTTTATAGTATAGTATCGCCTAACTGGCTAAATCCTATCTAGTTGGTTGATATACTAAATCCGGCGCTGGCGTGGAGGCCTTAGCCCAAAGGCCTAAATCCCATTATCCGTTTTTTAATATTAATAAAATAAACAATATATAATACTATAAAAATAAAATGGTAGAAGTAGGGGTAGTAAATCGGATGGAATGATTGAAAATAGCTTTTTCGAAAAAAATTTGTAAGTAAAAAATGGTTTTCAATTTCCGTTCTAAAAAATTAGATATGCAAAAATTCATTTCCGTTTCGGAATCGGCGGAATTTTAGTTTATAATCTCTTGTTCTAAATTCGGATACAACGAAAATTCTCACAATATTTTTATATTTTTTATTTTTTGCAGAAACATAATTAAGTTTCTCATACCAATTAATCGTTTATAAGGTTTTAATTTACTTGATATACGAGTATTTATATTTTTCATATAAAATATAACATAAGATATTATGAAATTACAAAATATATCATAAAATTATATTATCTATTTTGAAAAAGAAAAACATAAATATTCGAATTTAAAATTGGATCGGAATTTGGATTTCTCGGTAATTTTATATCCCATTCCAATTTCGTTCTAAATAAGCTTGGAAGAATCAGAAATCGGAAGGAAAATTTTATATCCCATTTCAATTTTCGTATCGAAATTGACGGAATTCAAAAATTTCGTTCCGAATTCCACCCTTAGGTAGAAGTCTAATACAAGTAGCAGATCCGAGTCGAGGCCCAAGACCAGTTTAGGAAAATATATTAAAATGTTCTATAGAATAAAAAGAGCCATTTTTTGCCCAAATTTTATTTCTTCCAACAGTAACTCAAATATAGCCGTTTTCTTTTATTTTCTTTTTTTTTTCCTTGTAATTTTCCTTATATAATTTTTCCTTCGGTAGTGTTTGTTGTAATTTTCCACTCTATTTTGCAACTTTCAACTTTAGTAAATATGAGTTTCTACTTTCAACTTTTATTCTTTAAGTTTCTACTTTTATGATATATATATTTTTTAATTTCTGCTAATAGAAGAGCAAAAAATACTTTGATAAATATGTATCTTACTTATATAATAACTTTAAAATAAATATAAAATTTATAAACTCATATGATAATTTTTTTGGGTTTTGGGCCCGAAAAAATAGGATAAAATGGCCTAAGGGGCGGGGCTGGACTCATGGTTTCCCACCGTGAGCTGGCCGGGCCGGGCCATGAAAGAAGTGGGCCGGGTAGGGTGAGCCCGCGGCCATATGGGCCTGTCTTTAACCCATCAACTCCTTTTTCCCAGATTTAATATTTCTTTTTTTATGATTAATTATAAAAAAAAAAATAAGGTTTTACCAACTTTTAAGATTACAAATAATAAAAATAAAAATTCAATAAAATAGGTACTTCATAATTTATAAATTGGCTAGATAATAAACGTACTCCCAAAGGACAGAGCATATTTGAAGCTAAAGTGGAGCAGGGCAAAATAATTGAAGCACATGTGTGTCAATCACTCCTTTAGCTGTGGTACCCCACCCCAGACTACCAAATTATTTTACCTTCTTTTAAATAATCACTACTTAACTTTTTTTTATAAATAAAATAAATATTAACCGTTACTCCTATAAACCTATTTATAGTGAACAAAATATTGGGCGAAAATTGTGCTATTTTTAATTACTAACCAAAGTTAAGTCGAAATTAACGTGCACAATAAATTAGACCTAACACTTGTCACTTTCCCTAGGCTAATAAATGGAATAATTAGGTGTATTAATATTTTGTTTGGTCATTAAACAAAATTATAAGCCAACTATCATTTCAATTGAAAAAACAGAAAAAAAAAATTGAAATTTATCAATTATGTGCATGATGGATGATTCATGTGGGGCCCAAACTTCCGTCCATTTATCCATGGATGGCGATTGACGGTCGTTAATGGCACCGTCCAAACCACCCCCAGGCCCCCACTTTTCAAAAGCCTGGAACGACAGCGTGTTCGTAGGAGCAAAGCATCGGTGCGAATTTACATATATACCCTCGTATGAACTTTGTAAAAGCTGAAGAAAGGAATTTTTTTTCTTCTTTATTTAATTAATAATTAATAATACCGAAAGGATTGAATTTTGACATTAATATATTTGTAAGGGTACATAAGATTTTCATCATCATGATTCTAATGAAGTGGTTTGCATTCATAAAAGAGGAAAAATTAGTATTTAATTTGAATGGTGGGACCTGTTTTAGTAATTTAATTTATATTAATATGTAAGATATAACAATTAAAATACTTAATAATTTAAAAGTACTGACCATTTTTTTTAAAAATGATTTTTTACATCTGAAAATGATGTAAACTATTTGATAATTAATTTGAATTTAATTGTTAAATTCCAAATTGATCCGTCATATTATTCGAATCTACCAAAACTCTTCCAGAATCTTCTTCGATTGGAAAAATTAGTAAATTAGCTATCTTTAATAATAACTAAATTATTTATATGGTTAGTTAATCTAGTTATGGGCTGGAGGCCGAAAGGCAAATTAATGAGGTCCATAAACAATTTAATATTGTATGCTAGGCCTTTGTTTGAAATTGAGGGTCGTTAGATTATACTTATTTTAAACAATTGATAAATTCTAACATATGAATTATGATAAGTTCTTACGTTTTATTTTTTTAAATAATTTTAAAAGTGTTTAGATAATGAGTTTCCTGTTTATAAGTCATTTTTTACTTATTATAAAATCTTAAATAAAAATATTAAAGATATTTTTTGAAAATATCTAAAAAGCTCTTCAACACTTATTTTTAAACATTTTGAGATCTTATTTAAAAAAAATACCCAATACATTGAAATAAATTATAATAATCTTAAACATCTTAGAGCAACTCCAACCCATAAATATCAAAATGAATTATCAAATATTTATTTGATATTTTATATTTTAATTTGATACCTAAATAAATTTATTTGCTCCAACCATAGTTATCAAATAGTTGCTAATTAAAAATAAATAATGTAGTTATATATTTTAATTAACACATGTCATTTTCAAATTGGTTATTAAGGTGGTTAAGTTATGTAACTTCCAATTGATATTATTTTTTCCGGATGTATTTTTACATCCCAAAAATTATAATATCAAAATAGAAACTCATTTGATAACTCCATTGGAGTGAAAAATTTCTAATTTCAATTATCAAAATGGTAGTTAAGGGTTTTGATACCCCATTTAATAATTCCATTGGAGTTGCTCTTATAAACTCCTTTTAACAGCTTATAAACTCATTCAACACTCTCTCATCCATGTTTTTATGAGTAAATCTATATTTTATTTATATCTTAAGCAAATCTATATTTGGTTTGATTTGTTAAATTTGGTTTAGCAATATTTTTTGGCATAAATAAAAACAATTTTGAAAAGTTGAACTAATAATTGTATTAAAATAAGCAGATAAACCTGACCCTTGGTTTGACCAAACAAGTCCTAAATGTGACGTAGCCTTCGGGATAGATTTAAGGCCTCAAATCTTTTTCTATTAATGAATATTTAGTAAAATGGTGATGTTCTTATACTTATTTTGTTTCATAATAATTACAATTACTAGAATCTAATAAAGTAGTAATTACTGGAAAAAAAAATCCACATATTTGAATTATTAATATATTTATATTTCCTATGTATATAAATAATATTAGTACCTACTAACACGATCCGAGATGAAGATTTAATAATTATTATTATTTACAATTTTTTATTTAATTAGTTTTAAAATTATTGGTCAAACAAAGTTGGGGAAAAACTGTTGTGCTGTCAATGTTGGAGAACACACGAGTGAAACGTGAAGAAGAATCATAGGAGATCCAAACCCAAGAAAAGAACTACGAGAATCCCAAGGGACAACATCGTCATTTTTCCTGCCAACATAAATTTCGGACCAGTAAACAAGAAAAAAAATAAAAATAAAAAAAGGAATTGGAAAGATACTCTATTTTAAATAATTTAATTTATTTATAGAAAGAGAGCGTGAGAATTAAACAGCCGATAAAGTAAATTCTACTACTTCCCTTTATTATTAAATTTGTCATTTTCTCTCTTGTTTTTTTTTTCTTTTTTTTTTTTTTTTTTTTCCATTATTGATTATAATTACAAACCAGGCCCGAATCCAGATCGTCAATGACTCATGCAGAGTCAGCACAGACAGCATATACATACAAAATACACACACACACACCAGCAAAGAGAATTCATTCATTTCAAAGAGAGCGTGTGTATATTGTGTCTAATGTAGAATTGTAGAGAGAGAAAGAGATCAAGAGAGAGAGAGAAAGAACACTACATACAGTGAAAGATCTGAAAAGCAAATAATGGGGTGAGAAAAAGAGAGAAAACTAAAAAGCAAGTGTCTTTGTTTTATCAATCACGCCTTCCGATACAACATCTCTCTTCCATTTTTTTCCGTTTGATTTTCTTCTCTCCGGTTAGTTCATCAATTTTTTTTTTTTATTTTTTTTCCCAAGTATTATTTATGTATAGCTGGGTCAAAATTTTAGTTTACGGTTTGAATGTATCTCTCTCTGCAAACGGAGACAACACAACACGTACGACTGGTTGGTTGACTTGTTCCATTGATTATTTTTTATCATGATTTTTTTTTTGAGGATTTTTGTTTGATGATCACGGATTTACTCTGATGATCTGAATTTCTGAGTTTTGTTTGATTCAAAAAAAAGCAGATCTATTTTTGGGAATTATGAGGTTTATTTTTATTTTTTTAGCTTTACATACTCTGCTGTTTGGTTGGTGATGAAGTTGTTGTCTGAAAGCATGTTCAAATTTTATTTATTGTTGTTTTATTTACTGCTTTTGTTCTTGTTGCTCTTGCCTGATTTCTGACCTGATTTTTACCAGGTATTGTTTCTTAGGAATTTTCTTTTGAGGCGGCCGCTTTAATTGCTCGATTATTCGAGACTTGAGTTTCAATAAGGTATTCGAATGCCCTGTGATCTCTCAATATTTCATCATCATAAAATTCTTGTAATTTATTTCTTGATTTTCTTACCATTTATCTTGGCTTTGTGCAGATAGACTGAATATTGGTGTCTTGTTTTCCGGAATTTTATTTGCTGCTGTTATTAATTAAGTGATCATCCCTTAATAAAAAAGGATGGCAAAGTTATCGAATAGCGATTCTAGACGAATGTATTCGTGGTGGTGGGATAGCCATATTAGCCCCAAAAATTCGAGATGGCTCCAAGAAAATCTCACAGGTAAACTTTCGTCAGAAAGTTTGTGATGGTGAGGAAAATTATATTTTTTTGTTAAATAATCCGTACTTTCGTTTGTTGCTCTTTGCAGATATCGATGTCAAAGTCAAATCAATGATAAAACTCATCGAAGAAGATGCTGATTCCTTTGCAAAGAGGGCAGATATGTATTACAAAAAAAGACCCGAGCTTATGAAAATGGTGGAGGAGTTCTACAGAGCATATCGTGCACTAGCAGAAAGATACGATCACGCAACTGGTGTTATTCGCCACGCCCACCGTACTATGTCTGAACATTTTCCGAATCAAGACCAGATGATGTTTCCAGATGATTCCCCCCCAAGTTCTGCCCCCGACATGTCGACACCGGTACGTAAGAAAAATGTTTTTTTTTTTTTTTTCTGGATTTGTTTTGTCTGATGATGTTTTTCGTGATGATGTCCGAAACAGATGGGAGAATTCACTGACGAGTCCGATTCTGTTTCTAGAAGAAAGCCCGCAAAAGCGTTCAATGAAGTGAGAAGGGGTCTTAACTTTGACGAGGTGGACGAGGAAGAAAATGATTCCGAGGATATTCTTTCGTTGAAGAAAGCTATTGCTGAGCTGGAAGCTGAGAAAGAAGCTGGACTTGTACAGTACCAACAAAGTTCGGACAAGCTGGCTCAGCTCGAGGCTGAGATTACGAAAACCCGCGAGGATTTCAAATTGCTTACTGATCATGCGAGTAAAGCTGACGACGAGGTTGTTGTCCTAAAAGAAGCGCTCAGCAAATTCGAAGCTGAAAGGGAGTCTAAGTTTCAAGAATACAAACAGTGTCTGGATAGAATATCCGATCTAGAGACAACCGTATCGACTGCTGAAGTCGAAGCACAATCCTTAAAAAACGAACTCGATAAATTAGCTCTCGAAAAGGACTTAGCTCTCGATCAGTACATGCAGTCGTTGGGGACCATTTCGAAGCTGGAGAACAATCTAGAAGTTTCTAAAGAAGATGCCATGAGGTTGAAAGAGAAGGCTGAAAAGGCAGAGGGCGAAATCGAAATTCTCCGACAAAATGTCTCGAAATTAACCAAGGAAAAGGAAGCTGCGGCTCTGCAGTACAAGCAGTGCTTGGAGACGATTTCTAGCCTGGAGGAAAAATGTCTCGTGTTGGAGAGGGCAAACCAGTCTTTTCATTCGGAGATAGAATCTTTGACGTTGAAGATGGGGAATCAATCACACGAGCTCACTGAGAAGCAGAAGGAATTGGGGAGGCTTTGGGCTTGCGTGCAAGAAGAACGATTGCGCTTCGTCGAGGCTGAAACTGCTTTTCAAACTCTGCAGCATTTGCATGCACAAACTCAAGAGGAGTTGCGGGCCATGGGCTCGGAGTTGCAGAACCGGGCCCACCTAATGAAGGTCTTCGAGTCCAGAAATCAGAGTTTACAAGACGAGGTTCGAAAGTATGAAGAGGAGAATAAGCACCTTAATGAGCTGAATGAATCTTCTGCCCTGTCGATAAAAGATATGCAAAACGAGATCTATAGCTTAACTGAATCGAAAGGAAAACTCGTGGAGGAAGTTGAGCTTCGACTAGACGAAAGAAACGCCCTGCAGCAAGAAATATATTCTCTGAAAGAAGAACTAAATGGTCTGAACCAGAAGCACCTCTCGGTGTCGGACGAGGTGAAACAGTTGCAGGACGAGAATTCTTGTCTGAAAGATACTTCTCAGAGGGAAAGTATTGAGAAAGCCGCTCTTCTGCAGAAACTGGTAATTCTGGAACAGCTTCTCGAGAAAAATTCGATCTTGGAGATGTCTCTGTCCGATTTGAATGCTGAGCTGGAGGCTGTTAGAGGGAAGATGGAAGCACTGGAGCAATCGTGCAGATCTCTTATGGAAGAGAAATCCACTCTCGTGGCGGAATTAAAGGCGACAAACGAGAATCTTGAAAAGCTCTCGGAGAATAACACGGTTCTAGAAAGTTCCCTCTCTAAAGCACAGCATCAACTCGAAGCTTTAAAGGCTAAATCGAAAATCTTGGAAGATTCGTGTCAGTTGCTCGTGAACGAAAAGGCTGGTCTGATAACTGAAAACGACGGTTTAATTTCTCGTCTGGAGAATACACAGACAAGATTAGAGGAACTGGAAGGAAGATGTTTTGATCTGGAGAGAGAGAAAGAGTCAACTCTTCGTAAAGTTGAAGAGCTGAAGATGTCTCTTGAGTTGGAGAGGCAAGAACACGGCAACTATGTTCAGACAAGCGATACTAGGTTCAGTGGTGTTGAAGCTGAGATGCTTGTACTGGAAGATAAGGCCATGAGTAACGAAATCGAGATACTCGTCTTACGCAATACTGCTCGACTGTTGAAGGAAAATAGTAATTCCATGCTTGTAAAGAATCAGAAACTTCTACATGAATCGAGTTTGTCGGAAACGAAGATTTTGCAGTTGGAGAAGAAAAGTTCCGAGCAACAATTTGAGATAAATTCTTTGTCAGATCAAGCTAGTGTTCTGAGGGCGGGAATTTTTCGATTGTTGAAAGTTTTGGGCTTGTGCGACGATTCTTCGTGTGAGGATAATGCTACAAAGGACCAGGTTTATTTCAAACAGCTGTTGACTAAACTTCAAAGCATGAAAAATTCAATCCGCAAAGCCGAGGAAGAAAATCTCGAGCAGTGTGTTGAGTTATCGGTTCTTTTCACATTGATCAATCAATTAAGTACCGATTCAAAAATTCTCAAGGTGGAAAAGACCAAAATCGAGCACGCATTGTTGGCTCGGATCGAGGGTTTAAGTGAGAAGCTAATGTATACGCAAGGTGTTTGCCAGATCTTGGAAAGGGAGAAGTTGGCGAATTCCGACGAGAAAAGTTCGTTAACGGATAACATCGTACACTTGGAGGAAAAGAATAATGTCCTGGAAGAGGAAAACTATGTCTTGTGCGATAAAGTCTTGGCCTTGGAGAATCTCTCGTTGCTTTTCCAATGCTTTGCCGACGAGAAACTTACGGCGTTGAGAGAACTTGGGAGCGATCGGAATAAGCTTTGCGAGATGAATGCTGCTCTTATGGAGAAGTTAACCTCAACCGAGGCGAGATTGGAGGAATCGAAGATCGAAAATCTCGACCACAAGGACAAGCTGCAGAAAACAGACAATGAATTTAAGGTTGTTGCCTCTGTCAGAGATCAGTTGAGCGACGAGATGAAGAATACAAAGGAGGCGTTGCATCAGATGGCAATAAAACTTCAAGAAGCGGAAGAGAAGATAAGTCTAGTCGAAAAGCAGAAACTGGAGTTATCTGAAGACAATGGCGATTTGAAAACGGAGAATACTTTCTTGCGTGAAGCAAGTCAGAAACTGGAATTCAATCTGCATGAATTGCAGGGAGAGCACGATAAGAGAAAAATCCAAGAAGAGAATTTACAATTTGAGCTGCAAAGTAAAATAAATGAGATCAACGAGCTGGAGAAACGAGCCGCATTGGTTTTCGGTGAATTGCAGTATTCCATGGTGAGTCAGCTTCTTTACGAGCAGAAGTATAACGAGCTCCGCAATGAGTGCTTTGGATATATCGGTCAAAACAAAGGCCTCAAGAGTCAACTCGCTGCATATGGACCCGAGATTGCATCGTTGAAGGAATGTATATCGTCCCTCGAGAACCACACCGATATACACATCAAGTTTCAAAATCCCGAAAACAAGGAATTTCAGGTACTCCCTCTTTCCCATATTATTAGTCGTTTTGGAGAAAACAAATTATTTCAAATTATTTGTCACTTTAGAATTCCAATGAATTTTCCAAATTTTATTACCATTTTTTTCCATTCTGCCCTTGCTACTCTTAATTTAACAAGAGAGAATTAATGGTAAAGAGATGGGGTATTTTAGTCATTTTATTAGATTTTTCCTAGAATCCGTACACATTTATTAGTTTTCTTAATACGCGTGCACACTTTTTAACATTATTAGATATAATAGGATGATTGTCTTGATTTTAACTTCAACTAATTCTACGCTATTCCCTTTAATGATTCGTTTAGGGTGCTGAAGTTGAAAGCATTTCCGACTTGCGGGACCTACGTGTTCGTCTCCAAGCAATCGTAAAGTCGGCAGTGGAAATAAAGGAGATCATGGTAAATGAGAATATCGATCTTCATTCCAAATTAGAAGCTTCCGCAAGGCAAATCGAGTTATTACAACAACAATCCGACGACGGCGGGCGATATAGGAGACCACACAGGGCCACTTCCGAAATCTCCGAGGCGGACAATGTTCTCCTAACAAAAGACATTGTTCTCGATCAAATATCCGACAGCAAAAGACAACCCGCTGACGTGGACAATCAAATAGTCGAATCATGGGAAACTTCCGATCCAGACGGCACGATCGGGCTCACCGTCGGAAAGTCAAAGAAGACGTTTGACCGCAACGATTTTCGCCGTTCTATATCGATGAAGAAACAGAAAGATCGATTGCTATTGGAGAAGGATTCGAGCACAGAAAAGATCAAGCCCCTACAGGAAGTTAAAAACAACAAGAAGAAGGTTCTAGAAAGGCTCGACTCGGACGTTCAGAAGCTGGCGAATCTACAAATTACGGTACAGGATTTGAAGAGGAAGCTCGAGGTGACGGAGAAGGGCAAACGTGGAAAAGCGGTTCTCGAGTGCGAGTCGCTGAAAGGACAGCTGGACGAGGCCGACGTGGCGGTGATGAAGATGTTTGATCTGAACGGGAGGCTGATGAAGAGCGTGGACGACAGGTCGTTTTCGGACAGTAAATCATCGTTCGACTTTGAGGGCGAAGAAGGAAATACGAGGAGGAGAGTGTCGGAGCAGGCTCGGAGGATGTCTGAGAAAATCGGGAGGCTGCAGTTGGAGGTGCAGAGGTTGCAGTTTGTATTGATGAAACTTGACGATGAGAGAGAAAACGGGAAAGCGAAAATGGCGGAAATGAAAAGAAGGATTCTTTTGAGGGATTATTTGTATGGAGGAGGAAGAACTGGGCAGAGGCGGAAGAAGGGGAATTTTTGTGCTTGTGCGCAGCCTTCGGTTGTTGAAGATTAAGTTTTTTTTTTTTTTTTTAATATAATGTTTTTTGTATTATTATTATTACCTGAAACTTATGTTGGATGTAGTAGTTTTTTCTGTTTTTTCATGGCGCGTGTAAATGATTATTGTCTAGATGTTTTGTATTAATATATAAATATTTTCTACCGGTAATTTCTTGAGGGGGGAAAAGGAAAAAAAAAAAAAAAAGAAAAGGAAAGACTGCTCATAAATCATAATAGGTGAAAATAAAGGGATTTTATCGAAAATGATTTTTTTGTGAACACTTCTTTAACAATTACCAAAACAAAGGTCTTAAATTAACAAAAAAGAGCCTGAAATAAAATTTAATATTCCCCGTTTTTTAAGCCTCTGAAATTAATAATCATTGAAATAAGAACATGTAGTAAGTGATTAGTGGCGATAATGTTGATTGGTTTTAAGAAGTTCCAGAAATTAAGGGAAGAAATTTTGTGAATTTGTAATAAAGTTTGAGATTGACCCTTTTAATAGCAAATATAATCGAAAATAAAAAATAAAAAAATAAAAAACCTCCCATATATAATTTTATTTTTTGATGAATTATATAATTATATTTTAAATAACGAAGAAATTAGTTATCAAAATAAAACCATAATCTAAAATAAAATAATCAAGTAATTTCTTGAAAATAATTACTTAATTAGCATAAAATACATTTGACTTTTGTATCTGCATAATCTAAGCACACTCATTAAACCTATATATATTAAAGGAGAAGCAGTAGTTTCATTTCACAATAATAACTCAATTCTTGTTAGCAATGGCCAAACTCCAGATCTTCTTCCTACTGGCAATTGCAGCACTCTTTTCAGGTAATATAAATTAAATTTTCTCACAAATTATTCATTATTTAATGTAATTCTTTTACAAGAAAATAGTAATATTATTAATAATAATAATTTTGCATTACCTTTTTTTTATATGCAGTGGAAATGGCAGTAGGGAACAAGTTTCAAAAGAAGGAATGCTACGAAATACATCCGGAAATCCTCTGCGAAAACGGAAACACCGACAAATGTTCGGCTTTCTGCAAGAACAAATTCGGTCCTTCAACAACTGTACAATGTATCGAAAATTTAGGCTTTACCGGCCCTTTCTGCGTTTGCAATGACTGTCCTGGATCATAAACATGTATCGACGAAATAATAATAATAATAATAATAATAATAATAATAATAATAATAATAAAAATAATAAATCTTGATCTCTATTCTGCATTTTGTATCTCAATCCCTAAATTCAATTATAATCTCATAACACAGAAAAATAAAAAGAAGGGAGTTCTTACAACCAAGAAAGTGATCATGATTCATGCGCATAAAGCATCTCCATTTTTACGAAACAAATACTTAGCCAGATTCTCCCTCATACTTATTCCCGATGGATCGATTTGCTTACAAATATGCCCTTTATAGTCATAGTCGTGATGAGCCGACAAAGCAACATCCGAACACAAACTCTCCCCACAATCTATAATAATATTATGAAGCAAACAACACACCAGGATAATACTAGGTAGTTTCCTCTTGTCCGGTCGCCACATCACCTTGTTAAGGATTCTCCAACCACCCTTCAACAACGAAAACGCATTGACCGCAGCCAATCTCGCATTTTCAAGAACTGGATTGAAGTGTTCATAGTCACCGCGTTCGTGAAACGGAGTTATAAGCCACGGAAGAAGAGGGTAACTAGCACCACCCACTATATACTCTCTAATCTCCTCACCCTCCGATGACGGTGATGACATCATCATCGCGTCACCATTTAACCGCCCGCCGGTTTCGCATAGTTTGTAAAAACCCGAGCATTTCAACAGCCTCGAAACGGGCATGCCACCCGGCCAACCCGTGACGATATCAAGAAACCTCATCTCGAAATCGACAACGCCTTGTACAAACATGCTGTAGTTGTTTTCTTGATCGCACCAGTCGTCCGAGGTTTGGACGGCGGGCAGGGTCATGACTATGTGGGTCGAGTCGATCGCACCGCAGCAGTTGGGCAGACCCGTCAATGATTCGAACCCGGATTTGATCCGACCCGTTTGAGTTGGGTCGGGCCATTTGAGGTGGTGCCTGGCCCGTTCTTCCATTGCCTCAATGAAGCGCCACGTCACTTGGGAGACAGTTGATTGGCCGACTCCGAAGGAAGCTCCGACCGAAACTTGGGATTCGCCGGATGCTAATCTTCTTAACGCTATAGCGACTTGCTTCTCGACACTTAGGAGCCTTCCTTCGATGTTGATTAGGCCTGAAGGCGGTCTCGAGATTAGATCTTCTCTTACAAGGGAACAGATGTACTCGAATGTCTTATTGGAGACACGAAAGAAATGCTTGAAACCTTCTTCTTCGTTGAGGGGTGAATTTGAATCTGCAATTTTATTTTTTCCCCAAATTAATTTTAAGAAGCTGACAAATAACAGAAAAACCAGGTAACAGCTGCCAAACATGAAAACTAAAATGCAATCCGTAAAATTAAAGAAGTGGTGGCTTCTGCAAACAAGTATCAATTTAGACTAAATCCAGACTTTTCAGATGATTGCAAAGAAAAATGAAGAAAGAGTAAGAACCCTAAAAAAATGCAATCTTTAGAAAAGGGGTTTCTTAAGAATTGAAAACACAACCAGTCCTGAAGCTTAATTGAACTATTAGAGCTAAATTTTGATAAACACCACTACTTAATTAATTAAAAAAAAATTGAATTAAAATAGAGGAGACCTGGGTTAGGAGGAGGAGAGTTCTTGTTCCAGAAGATATCCCACCATTCACAATCAATGGCTTTATTATCTAACGGAATTGACTTATTTGAACTATTGTTCTTGTTTTTCTTCTTCTTCTTCACTTTCTGAAACTTCTTCAGATCTTTCTTCATTTTGCTGGGTTTTTTTGGAGGACCCATTTTATATATATATATGCTAATTCGATTAAGAGTGGGAGTGGCAGAAATTTCACATCAATTTGGTATTTGGATGGATATTCTCAACGAAAGAAAATGAAGTTCGCATTTTTTCAGACACCAATGCACACTTGATACATGTGTAGTTAGAAAACGTGTTTAGAAACTGTATCGCCGCTCACTATGTCAAAATCATGCGAAGAACAATGCGATACCGGCTTTGCTTAGCCCAATAATTGAAGCTTGTTCAAATTCAGGCCCATACTTCATTAGCCCATAATTAGCCCGCACCACGGGCCCATTTTCTTTCAACGGGCTTTTATTATAAGTTTTCTTCTTGTAATTAATTTTACTTATCCGTAATAATTCCATACTTTGTATTTTTATTAACACTTCAACCGTGCGACGTCCGGGGATACTCATCGTGAGAATTTTTTATTTTTTTTTGTTTTGATCGAAATAGTAAGAACAAAAATTGATATGCAATAAAAAGTAGTACACAAATATATTTAAAAAAAAAAATTATGTTTGGTGTAAGTAATTTTAATTAAGCCAAATAGGTGAAAACAAATAAATATCGAAAAATAGAATTTTGTGTACAACAAACGAGTATATCGTTGGTCCCAACGCATACAACCATAATGTCTAATGCTAATACTAATATGCCAATGCTATTATTATTATTATTATTATTATTATTATTATTATTATTATTATTATTATTATTATTATTATTATTATTATTATTATTATTAAATAAAATATACACCATAAAAATAAGTGACATATATATATATTCCACGTTGTTAAAATTATTAATTAGAATGGAAATTTAAAAAAATTGCAATAAATATTCCACTAGAATTTGACATGCTTAGATCTGATGTCACACATTGTGGCTATACTTAAGTGATAAATCAGAATTAGAATCCAATTTAGGGTTAGTAGTGTGAAGCATGTAATTGCATGCTCCAACAGCTTCTCCCACAGTCAAGAATATCCATTCTTCCCCCATTGTTTCTAGAAATTTCGACTTGTTCAGCTTCTTCATCACCTCCCCACCTGGATTCGCTAACCCTAACTGCTCCATTCACCAAAAATATTCCAACAATCATTTAAAACGGACAAAATCGATCCGGAATTTAATTATATCTTCGATCAAATCGACCGACTAAATAATTTTAAGTAATTACCTTGAGCCCTCTTCGATCAACGGTTTTCTTCACCTCTTCAAGCATGCTAATGCCACTCGTATCGATGTTTCCAACCGCTGACGAATCAAAATTAGATATAATATAATTAGAATAGTACAATTTATTAATTTATGATTAATCAATCATATTATATAGTACATTCTGCTCACCACTCATGTCAAGTATAATACACTGTAATTCAGTTTCGCCGGTCGATTTTATTCTGTCTTCTTCATCGTCAATCCATCTCGAAATCCTGGAAATTTAAACAGTAATATATATATATATATATATATATATATATATCAGGACATTAATATTTCAAACAATTATTACATATTTATTAATATATTTAATTAATTAATTAATTAATTACGTACCTTTCTCTCAAGTAGTTGGAATTTGCAAAGTAAATGGGAGCATCAATTTCAAGAATCAGAATCCCAGGAACACACTGTGCATTTTGATACTGGTCAACGTTTCTATAAACCTTGGAATCTGGAATATTCCCTAGAACCAAAGTCTTTGGTCTTGCAACAAACAAAAGTACCCTAACAACCGACAGTCCAATCTGCAATGCACAAAGTACAACTCAAATTTTTGCATGTCTAATTGTTTTTTCCATGCATGCAATGTTTAATTATCTATATATATAAATACTTACGGCCATGACTAAGCCGATCTCGATATTGGCAAAGACGACGCCGATATAAGCACTCATGCAAACGACAAAGTCGAATTTATCGACGTGCCATAAATGGATCGCTGCTTCGTAGTCGATAAGCCCTAGCATGGCGGCGACTATAATGGACGACAGAACCACGAGCGGTGTGTAATGGAACAACGGCGTTAGGAATAACAGCGTTATCATCACCGCGATCGCCATCACTATGTTGGAAACCGCCGTTTTGCATCCCGCGTTGAAGTTCACCGCCGACCGCGAAAATGGCCCTGTTTTTCAATTTTCATTTTGTAAATCATATATCACCAATTTTTATTTATTTATTTAATAAAAAAAAAGAAGGAAATTTACCTGCGGTTAAGTAACAGTAAGTGCAAGAGCCAGCAATATTCATCATTCCAAAAGCAATCATTTCTTTGTTGCCATCGATGTGGTAATTCTTGAACATCGCAAAGCTTCTTCCCACTGCTATTCCTTCCTGATGCCAGCACAAACACACACACACACGCATCACTATTTAGTACGTGTAGTTAGACACTAATCAAGCTAATTAATTTTCTGATTCAATTTGCTAGACGAATTTAATTGTCTTTATCGATGGTTAAGATTGAACTAATAGAGACTTGACTAGACTTGCCTAAAACATAAATCCGAATTTAAATTTGAATTTTCTAGCAATATTAATATTAATATTATTATTATTATTATTATTATTATTATTATTATTATTATTGTTGTTATTTTTATTATTATTATTATTATTATTGTTATTATTATTATTATTATTATTATTATTATTATTATTATTATTATTATTATTATTATTATTATTATATGATTTAAAAAAAATGTCAATTTTAGTTATATAATGGTAGGAATAGTGAAGTTGCTATCGTCATGCACTTTTCCTAGATGAATGGACTAAATCATGGTGACTAAAGCAAGAAGCAAAGGCACAAATTAAAGTTGTGGTCCTAAAATACACACGCGTGATTAATTCTATTATTTTGGAAGTAAACGATAGACCAAAGTTGACTAGGGGTTGAACTATTTATAACACATATACAAAGCATTTAATTAGTACACTAATCAAGATTATATTTAACGGGAACTAATTAATATTATAAATCCAGCCGTAATTATTAATCAAATAAAATAATACTTATATAATGTACTACTACTTACAGCGAGAGCAATAACACCGGTGACGATGCCAGTTTTGATAGCGGTAGGCAGATATCTTGAATCAAAATTCAGATCCATTATTGAACCTGGATTTATCCCTTTCTTCAACTCCCCTATCTGCATCAAATTATATTAATAATCTTTATATTAATTATTGCACTATTACTATTAAATTATTAATCTAATTAATTCCATCTAAGCAACAACCAATTAATATTATATTGTCCAAACACGTCCTGGCAATAACATTCCCAAAACCAAGCAACCTTTTTCATTCTCACAGCTTTCTTTTCGGCCTCGTTTGTCTTTTTTTGATCATGCATCGAAAAAAGACAAGAAACAAACATTCCTACAATTATTTGACTCATCAGTCATCACCTATATATAATTATTAGGTTTTCTACTAATTAAATGTATTAATTAGTTAAATAAATTTACACACAATACATGTACATGTGGATCGATGTGTGTGAAATGGATATGAAATTACCTAGGGTGAAATACAAGTCACATGAAATGCATGCTGCATGGGTGTAGATTCGAATAATTGATCTCGTGTGACAAGAAAGAAAGTTATGACACTGATTCTTGACTCACTACCAAACACACACAAACTACCAAAAAAGACTAGTCCACGTCATTATTTGGTCTATGATTAGGGGGTGGGGGTGGGGGTGGGGGTGGGGGTGGGGGGTCCTCACCACTTGGACACCATGGTCTTCAGCATGGGTGAGGTAGACCACAAGACTTCCCAATATCACTGATGTCAATGGAGCCATTGCTGATACCCAGAATAGATTTGGCTTCTTTTTGCTCTGCATTTTTTTTTTTTATTATTTTTATAAACTAATAATTGATTATATATATAAAGAAATTAATGAACATGGATGAAAAATGTACGGTGAGGATTAACTTACAAACAATCTGGAGATGAGGAGGTAGAAAAGGAAAACACATCCAAGCACCGCACTTTCCCATCTCCACTGCAATATTAACTTTAATTTGTCAACCTCACAAAACTAAAAATATTTGTATATAAAATAAAATAAAAATAAATATTTTTATGTGATCAGAAATTTGTCCTTTAATTGCTCTTTTTTCTGAGTGCAACTTTCTTTCTGTAATATCCAAATTTTATTATTGCTTCTTATCTGATATATTTATTTTTGGTGGTAGCAGAAGATTTTTCAAGGAAAGAGAATCCACTTTGACAGGATATTCAACAGCATATTAATTAACTTTAATTTATTCACTTATGGAGATAGCTAGCTTCAAATCGAATTTATTAATTGATATATTCAGTATTTTTACTTTGTAGATATATACTATATAATAAAATATTAATATAGATACATGACATCATCATGTAACGATTCTGATGTTGATCGTGCGGTGACGAAAATGTTACGTTGAACTGATAATTATATTATAATTAGTGATTAATAAATAATATTAATCTTATATATAAAAGAAAGAAACGCTGCGCAACCCTAAAAAACTCTAATGGTATTAAATATTTTTAATATTTTTTTCTCAACTAATTTCTAACTATAATTTTTAACAATTATCAAAATTGAAACTAAATCCGGAAAAATCCTATCTAATGATACTTTTGTAATTATTTTATTTTTAATATTTTTTGTGTACTAATTTTTTAACTATAATTTTCAACAATCATCAATCTCCCGTTTTTCATCAATATATCTCAAATCTTAAGAGATAAAGATATAAATTCGATTCGATATTAATCTATACATATTTGAATTATAAATCTTAATATGTCATATTAAAAAAGACTAATGTTATATAAAGTATGAATAATACTACATATTAAATTTTACTATGTTTGTATACTATATTTTCTTATTATGTATTAAATTGATTATTTTTTTTCATTTTTGAAATAATATCCCGTGCATCGCACGGGAAAAAAATGCTAGTAATAATAATAATAATAATAATAATAATAATAATAATAATAATAATAATAATAATAATAATAATAATAATACCTCATGAGTCTGGGAGAAAACAGAGCGCAAAACAGAGATGACGTCAGTCTCATGAGTAAAATGTTTAAGCCCTAAAATGCCCTTTAGCTGCTGTAGGCACACAACCGTAGCTGCTCCTCCCATAAACCCTACTATTGTTGCATGCGACAGAAAATCCACTATGAACCCTAGCCTGTATTTATATGTAATTAATATTAATTATAACATCATCGTACCACCTGTCTTTATCAATAAATAATAAATACTAATTAATTATATGCATGTGATCAATTTGAATATTATTTAAAAAAAAAAAAGAAATTATAGTAGACCTGAAAATGCCCAAGGAAGCTTCGAAAACCCCGGCGAAGAAAGTAGCAGTAAAAGCAAGATGAAGATACAAATCTGGATTCTCCACTACGTTCACCACTTTCCCTAGCATGGATGCCGTTAGCAACGATCCAACGGCTACCGTCCCCACCGCCAAATCTCTCGAACTCCCCATTACAGCGTAAACCAACGGCGGAACAAAGCTCGAATCTATTACATTCAAAAATATCGATATATTATTTAGTATTTAATATTTTTAAGTTTTTCGATTTTTTTTTTAATGTGTGTGTACTTACAGAGGCCGAGAATTGGCGGCAGGTTCGCGAGCTTGGCGTAGCTGATGCCCTGAGGAATGGCGAGGCTGGCTATGGTGATGCCGGCGATGAGGTCAGCTTTGAGGAACTGCCACGTGTACTGTGGGCCCCACTGCACGATCGGGAAAACGTACTGCAGCCCGAGTAGTAGCTTCCTCCTCGGCGGCTGGTTCTTGAACTGGCGGAGGGGGTCGTCGGGGAAGAAAGTTTCCTTCAGGGTGTTTTTGAGCGACTTAATGAAGGGCTGTGGCGGCGGAATGGCTACTCGGTGGCTTGCCGCCGCATCCAAGTTGTAACTATTCATATGATCATCGGCGTTGCCCATTTTTTTTTTCAGTCTAAATTAAATTTGTAATAAGATTAGTGTAATTAATACGACGTACGTAATTATATTTTGAAGTAGTGAGAGAAGGTGGTTTGTGAGTATCGTGGATGGCCGTTTTTATAGTGCGAGAAAATGAATCATTTTTTTTCTTCTAAAAAAAAGTAAAATAAAATAAAAGTGCGGTGTGGGGCCGGAAAAACTCGCATGCATAGATTAAAAGTTTAGAAAATTCTATGCTATACCCGATTATTAATATATTATGATTTTTATCCGTCGATCTGCATATAATCACATATATATTCGATTATGTGTATGTGTGATTAGTGGGTGATTATATTATTTTATTTAACCTCGTCTACAGTTATTAACAAGTACTTACTCCATGTAAATAATCCGGTGTAGCCAGGGGCGAGTCCACCCTTGGGCAAGGGTGGACTCAAGCCCACTCTCATTTTATTATTTTTCCCCCTATATTATACCATATTTCTATTTAGCCCACCCAAATTTTATTTACTAGCCTACCCAAAATTTCATTTAATGCAAAAGAAGCCCCATATTTTATTAATTAGCCTACCCAAAATTTAAATTAATACAAAAAAGTCCCAAATTTTATTAATTAGCCCACCAAAAATCCAAATTAATACAAAAAAAACTCTAAAATTTGTTTTTTTTCTTTTTTTTTTCTCGTTTCTCCTTTTCCTATTTTCAAAAAAATCCTAAAAAAATCTCGGGGGCGCTGCCCCCGAACCCCCGAAAATTGAAGCCCCCCCTGTACTGAATTCCTGGCCTCGCCACTGGGTGTAGCATATAACTTCCCAAACAAACATTTATCACTAGAATTAATAATTGTGTAAAAG